CAGTTCCCTTTATCATTTTTCAAGTACATACAAAATATGATATCAAATGAACTCACATTTTTTTCAACCTGGCAGACTGGTTAAACTGTTGTACTTTAAGGGTATAAACATATTAGGAATACAAACTGACACTAATTTACTATACCTGTTACTGATGCCTAATATCCTAAGCATTTCACTTTTCAGGTATGTGTAACAAAATGTAGTCTTTTCTTCACAAACTGCCACTCATTTGAGAGAAATAAAATGATAATAATAATAAAATATAAATTCCAGGATTTCAAGAATAGTTCAGGTACTGATAATATAGCAAATGCTTGCCATACATATTTATCAATGCATGTTCAGTATTCATATTACATGGGTATTAAAGTAATAATAAGTAATAGTAACTGGCATCAGAAGGCAGGTCTTTGTATTAAATCCCATTAATTATCACACACTGCAGAGGAAAAGCATGGTGACACTTAACAATATTTATACTTTATTATTTTGCAATATAAAATTTGCTGTATGCATATAATAAAGTATTCCAGCTTGTAATTTGCTGAAGTGTAATATGAATTTACACTCTAAGGTAGCATGACTGATGAACCAAAAAACAAAAACTATTTAATAAACATTTATGGATTCAGACAGTTTTATGAAGGGAACAAGTCGTAAGTTATCAGCATTTGGTAAAATAAACTTATCTGAGAGGAGAATAATGAATAAATCTTTTGATGTGAATTGTGATTACAATCTATACCATTTGAACACTTAAGCCTTCCTGAAATATAATAATGTCAACCTATATTACATCTGGAAATTGCAGGAATCCAACCTCATAAATAATTCAAGCCAGAAAGATAAATAATATGATTTTACAAATAATATGATTTTACAAATTTTCTTTTTTAAGTTTTGTCTAAACATGTATACTAAAACAGTGCAACCATATTTACAACAGTAGCCAAAAAGCAACTTATAGTACTGCAATACTAAATCACTGTAAGCCAAGAGGTAAGAAAGCAAATGCAGAATATGAGACAACTTTTGTTACTTTGAAAGTAATGGAAGATACCAACTTAAGCATTTTCTTAACACTTCAATCTCAAAATAAATGCAGTAATAAAATAACTTTAATTGATGAAGAAAATACAAACATAAATGAGATAATTCATCTGTAAATTTTCCTTTTGTGCCTCTATTCATCATTTTATATCAAAGGCTTTGTTAATCCACTGGCACTTGCTACACATACCGCCCACTATAGTCTTGCTTTCAGAATTCTGTTTGTACATAGATGGTTCCACAATTGTTCAGCCACCAGGGAGTCATATCAGTAGTTTCTATGACCCACCTCTACTGATTTCTCCATTCCTTGAATTCTGCAATTGACTCTTTGGTGACTAAGCACTTGTGAAGCCATTTAAGTGTAACCAAAACTAATAAACTAAAATTACAGTGGACATGGCACATATGTACATGCCATACTGCCATCACTGGGTTAATCTTGTACTCTTACGGAAATTATCCACATGGGGCGTAAAGATAGACATTTAAAAGCATTTGGGTAGATGTATAATAACATTAACAAAACACATTTACCTTCCTTTCAACTTCCACATAAAAACAAACATTTTGGTCCTATTCTCAAGGCAACCATGAAAGAAAATTGTCAAGACGATAACAGTTTAAACTTACAATGACTATTATTGCAGTTCAGTTTTATTCAATTTAATCATGTGTAATACACAAATTATTTCTCAAAAATAAGAAAATATTTATACTTAATTTGGCTAAAAAATCACTCAACATTATATGACAACTGCAATAACCTTATGAAGACTGATGGCCTTGCTTCTGTTAACCATAATTTTAATTTGTTCACATGAAGACATTGTGATATTATGTACATAATGATCTTCTGCAAATACAACACATATTGTTTTAAAAATTGATATAAACCATTCTAATAATGTACTAATTTAATAGAAATTATATCTGGAAATGGAACATTGAAGTACATAGGGCTTGAAATTTCATACAGAATAATCTATTCTTTTCCCAGGACATTTGCTGTATCAAAGCAATGTGTGTATTTCTAGATTATATCTTACTTTGTAGAACAAAATGTGATTTTAAGTGGTTTTAACAATGTCTTAAAGTTCATCAATACTCCAGTTCATTTCTTTTTATTTATTATTATTTTTTTTTTTTGTTCAACATTCTTTAATAAAACTTTTAGACATTATAATCATAATGCTTAACACCACAAATACCCTACATTTGGCAAAAGTGTCACATAAACAATATTTTATGTGTAATAGAATAATTTACATTTCTAAAGATCTTTTATCTAGCCAACCTAAACCAATGGAGATGTAAAATGCAACCGTGTTTAATACAAAATAGAATCACAAATTAAGTACATCTTGACAATCCACAACCAAATACCACAGAGCAGAGGTCACATGAAGAATCCATACTGCCATTTGAGAATCATTAATTTCACTGA